GCATTTCCCAGGCTCTCTCATCAATTTGTTCAAAATTCTTCACGCAGTTAGTATTTTCTTTCTGAGGTGTTTTTTTTGTGTCCTCTTGAGAATAAAAAAAGGTCCGGTTTGTGCATTAGTGGTCATTTTAATGTTTGTTTCATTGGATTATGTTGTAATGTTTATTCAAAAAACAGGAACTAGATTGTAATTTTTTAAACTAATAAACCTGTTTGTAATTAGGCCCTAAAACAGGGATTCTTTTGTAATTTACTCCTTCATTCGTAATAAGATATGATTTTTTATTTGTATTTATAAAAAGATGTTTTTAATATATCCAAAATGTACTCATGTTTTCATAGAATTATGCGAAGTTATGTTTTGGTGATTTTTTCAATGGTAAAATGTGGAAAAGTTCTTAATACTCTTCACATTATGTAATCAGTAATTATTAAATTTAAAAAATATAATAGATGAAATATGATGCAGAGTCCAGCAATCACATTATGCTTTGGTGTCCTTTCACCTTCAGTTTATAGTGTTCTGTGTTCAATCTCTTAGGCATCAGTTGGGCTATGGCCGGGATGGTAAGAACTGAATTATTAGCTTGGGAGGGGTTGAGAAATGACAATAGTACGCCCTGCCTCATCCCTTTATCTATCACGTGGATCATGTGGAAAGAAAAAAACAACAGGGTTTTTTGTAGGTAAAGAAGAACCGCTTGCCAAAATTATAGATAAATGGATACACTTTTTTGGTTCTATGGTTTTGGGGTATGATTTATATAGTCCTTAAAATTTTGCAGTCATTGTAGATATACTTATTGACCACTTGTAAATTTTTTGTATATGGGTGGTGCCCTCTTAAAGCCTTTCATTAATTTACTCTTTTTATTTTAAAAAAAAACTATGTATATTCGAAATTTCATTATTACAACTTCATTATTACAATTTGATTTGTACATTGGGAAGATTTGGGGTGTGTCATCGACCACCTAATTGATATGTAGCTTCTATGTAATTGGGTGGTACTCCCTTTGTACCTTTGTGAATAATAATACTTTCATCTTTTATTTCAAAAAAAAAATTATTACAATTTGATTTGACCAGTTTGTTTTGCTGGTTTTAATGCATATTTAATATACTTGCCAAGCTAGATTGACTAGGTGTTGGGGCATGGTAGGCTTCAAGCAGGCTGGTTCTCTTTGTGATAACTATGCATCAACCAGTCTGTTGCTGTTTCAAATAGAGAAGGTCCCAAACTGCTTCTTGTAGATCATGGGATTGAATTGGAAATGGTGGATTATTGGACTGCTGAATGATTCTTGTAATGCTCCTACTGAAAATTTATGGACTATTGGTTCAAGAAAAAAAATAATAATAAAGAAACGTCACTCGGGAAGATTAGTTTGGAGACAACTGTAAACTATGCCATCATTTTAGTATTCTGTAAAAGAAGAAACCATTTCACTGTCAAGCAAACAGTGATGGTACATAAATTTTATTTTGGACTATAATACTTGAAAGTATGATGAAATTATGCCTGATAATTTCATCTGTCAGTATTCAGATTTTGCTGAAATTGTACCTGACAAATCAAGTGTCATCTTGTTTTCCACTAAAAGTTTGCTCTCACACTGATCTGAAAGATAATCTTACTTTAAACTTGAAGCTGTAGTTAGTTCCTTCATTATTTCCATTTACTTGAGTTGAAGACTAGATATATTTTCAATAACATTTAGCACTTTGCGATTATATTTGAAGGGATCTTTCACAAACCAAGTACCACACAGAGCGAAATTACAGTGGTCCATTATTGTACCGCCAGAGGAGAGATTCTAATATCCTTGCATCTGGTACTGTTGGTCTCTATCTTTTGAGTTAATATCAATTCGAATTGTTTTTTAGATATTTGTTATTTATACTACAACCTATTGGCTTTTTCATTTCTTGTTTTTTCTATAAAAAATGCTTTAGTAAATCTATTTTGGGTTGCAAATTTAAACACAGTAGAAGATACATCAGAAGGGGCAGTTGTGCAACGTAAGGGACGTTTTAAGGTCACATCAGCAGATCTCAGTCCGAAGGTATGTTAATATATGTGCTTTAGATCTCATCAGCCTTACTTGGACTTTGACAATATGAATTTGCTTCCATCATTTGATGCTTTCGATAGGCGACCTTGTATTGGGATGTTGAAAGCATTCAGAAGTTAATTTTCATGTTTTTTGCTCCTACTTTGATCTATTTATGGCATTTACTTATTCCCTTCAAGTATTTCAAATAGAAGGTGTAATTTTTGTGTAGAAAGCTGCTGATTTCTAAATAGAACACTCAGTTATTTGGTAGTTAACTCTCTTCTACTAAAGACTAATCCTGATAGATTAATAAAATTTACTAAGATGTTTCAACAGTGTTCCATATAGAAATCAATATTATCAAAATGTAGCAAGATAGAAAAAGGTTTTATCATAACCCTTTACAAATCACATAGCATGTTGGCTGATCATGTATTGAGCGTTTGCCTGTCAGGAACAGCAGTGAAAAAATAACACCTTTTCGTAAGGTGTGCCAAAGAAGGAAGAAGAAATAATGTAATTAATATCTAGGTATATGTGCTGTATTTGAATTGTTTATGGGTTTATTGGAATAGGTATATATGCTGCATTATCTGTGATATTTTGTGGGTTTATATGTTGTATTTTTATGAAACATTGTGAGTATTAGTAGGAGAAAATTAGGGAGAAACAGATGGGTAGTTATGCTTTTCTGGAAAATAACTCCCAGAATAACTGCTTCTCTTTGTTTTTTTGTGCCTATATGCTTTATTTTCAATCAGTAGGATGTGTAGTAGAAGGGAAGAAGGGTAAGGGTTAGATAAGGAATATGGATAGTTATGAGTAGTTATGAGAATTCTGGAAAATAACTTGCAGCATAACTATCTTCCTTTGTATTAAAATATTGGGCTCTCTTTGTTGACAGATAATGAAAGAAGAATTAATTTACAAGTTCTGAATACTTGTTTTACTCAAGAAATCATTGGGTTCTCTCTTAACGAGCACATAATTAGATACAGTGGGTAAAAGAAAAAAGACAGGAAAAATTCAAAAATACCTAATGATTTCTCGTTCATCATCCCATAATTATATCCATTAGTAAGGACCATAATAGTGCCTCTTCTATAGCTTGTACCATTATATCAAATGAAATTGTAGTTTTAGCAACATTATTACTCTGAGCATCTTTTAACATGCCCCACTTGTTTGATCTAACCCATTCATGGGAGCATTTCTTGTCTTTTCAGTTGTCAAGATACAAATGCGATGTTCAGATTTAAAATTAATGCTCAGTTCTGTTACTTTTTTAGCTTAGTTTTTATACAACCTTCAAAAGATATATGACCTAGTCCATGAACTCCTAAGTGTTCTGTTCCTTCTCTTTTACACTAACTTCAAAACATTATAGATTTATGTACTTGAGTATGGCAAGGATGGAACTTAGCAGTATTTTTTTTAGGCAATGGCTTTATAACCATTGCCATTATATATTTTCTCATTCAGGGACCTACAAACTGCACCTTCAACCCAGTTGGCGTAGGCTTAAACAGTCCAGCTTTGCTGAACTTTACAGCTGCCTCAATTCTTCCATCACTGCAAAGCATTTTGCTTCAGAACACCATGCAAAGGGTAATTTCGCCTACAACTACTTTCTTTCTAATGTTTATGTAATCTCAACTATGAACTTCTTAAAAGAAATTAGTTTAATTGTTCGCAGGAAGAAATTATTAGACTGATTAAGTATGTGGAGCAAACCTCTGGTAATGTCTCTCTCCACCGTTGAGTTTCACATCTCCACCTTCTATTCCTGCACTAGATGAGTAAAAAGTAATTGATTTGGTTTGCTATACGCAGGTAAGCATGCAGATCCAGTTGATGTAGTTATTGATGATGTTTCGCAGGTAAGAAACACTGCTTTGTCAAAGTAATGGATTGTTTTTACCTATTTGTAATATCTCTTCAAGCAATGAGAGCAAAAAGCTGCTTAACCATATTACTGTGGATAGTTTTTAATTTTTCATCCTGGAGAGAAAGGTTAGATGGACATGGAGCTAGGAAGACTTTAACTTCAGTATGTTTTTCATTGAATTTTCAAATGGTTGACAATATATTTTGGTGTACCTCATCAAAATGCTTCAGGCTTCCATTGGATGAACTGTTTAGTGCTTAAAAAAAGAATAGGTTTTACACTCTTGATGCTTTGCTTAGAACTTCAAGACTATAATTTTTAACATGGGATGAAAAGTGTCAAGCCCACATCCTATGGATGCTGGATCTATAACTATGCTTTGAGTTTCTCCTTTTCCCTCTTTCTGAGGAATACACGTAATCTGGTCTTCAGTGAACAATTATGGTAATTGATTTGATGACCTTTGGTTTGCAGATAACCCCTTCTACTCCTAGGGAGAGAGAGCTCGTGTCGCAGATGATTCAGCTGCAACAGAGGTATGAGATGAAACCTGGACTTTTCTTATTGGAAAACCTTTAACTTATGGATATTTAACTGAAACCTAAATGTAATATCAGTATTGGGAGCCTTATTGAGGAATTGCAGACACAGAAGATGAAAAATCATCAGGTTTGTACATTTATTTGAATTGAATATGCAAACTAGAAAAGAGTTCATCTTTCTCAGAGAACCAATTTGTTAGTTGACTGTTTTTGCTCGCTAGAATATTTCAATCAAGTCATACATTAAAAATTTCCATGTACAATGATTCAAGGTTAGAAAAACAATTGAATTTGTTCGGTAATGGAGAAGACTGTTCATCAGTGAATAATTATGTTAATTGATTTAGCTGCAAACAATTACTTAGTGGGCCCTCTTTTCCATTTCACTGCTGAAATTGTGTTAATTTACTGTTTGCAGTTAGAGAAACAATTGAATGCTTTGGCCAATAAAGTAGAAAGAGTAAGAGAATGAAGCATGAGGGTGATGGGATGCCTTAACCCAGATTATTTAGTCAGATGGTGAGAGTTCTCAAGCCTCATGGGAGGTTCTTTTAGTGATGTAAGGGGGGGCCTTTCTGGATTGAATTCTTATTGTACCATATTATGTGAACTTGTTAGGCAAAAGAAGAAAAAAAGAGAAGAAAAGTACACGCCTAAATTTTGAGAATTCCCATTCCTTGAGTTCATATTTGTGAAAAATGTTGTAATTTATTGACAGTATATTGTAATTATATTGCATAATCTTTGGCGTTTTGTCTAATACACAGATGGTCGAAGGGGAGTTTAACCTCTCACCTTAGTGAAAACCAAAGCTCATAATTAGTTATGTTCTATCAGTCTACTTCTGACAGATTACCAATCAAGTAGAATTATACTGTAACTTTTATCGCAAACTAACGATACTTGAAACATTTTCTAAGGTATTTTTTTAACACAGCTGAGCTAGCCTTAAATCGTTCTGCTGAAAAAAAAGTTTCAAACGTGTAACCCTAGAGACTACAAAAAGCTGTCAAGGAAACTTAAGAGTTGATCATGGTGTGACGCTCAACATGGAAGTGTTTTCTTTATATCTCAGATACATCTTACCAAACAGAAGACATATTTAGTATTTAGCATAAACAAAATCCAAGAAAATGTTGTAAGGATCTCAGAGATGTAAATAAAAATCTGAAGGTACAAACTGCAAAGCCAAATCTGAATGATTTGCAGCAATTTGGTCACCAAAGGCGGTTCTTGATCACTGCAGCAACAACTCCTTTCAGTGTCTCCTGCACAGTCGTATTATAAAATTATTTATTTCAAGTAGGCAGATGTTAAAAAAGTAGGATGTTAAAGTAGTACCACAGAATGGTCTTTAAGACCGAGTGAAAACACTAGAGGCTTGGAACAGCCAGAGCAACTGCAAACATATAAAATTCATTCTGTTACCCATCTGAAAATGCTAGCAGGGTTTCACAAAGATCTTCAAAAGAGTAGTTTTATTCTTTCAGAAGCACTTAAATTTCATTTGTTTATATCATAAAACATAATCAAGGGTTTAATTATTCAAATTTGTTTGTATTTTTAAAAAGTTCATATTTTATTATTTTTTTAAAACAATATTTCAAAATGTCTAAATACTATATAGGCTTATAGAATAAACAATGTATCAGATGAATTGCAAATTCATACCTTATATGTTCAATTAGCTGACGAGCGCTTGCCACTAGCATTGGCTGCATGTGTTGCTCACAGTTTAAAATAAAGGGAAAAAAACACAAGCAACATCATATAAAACATTTTGTACGCCAATCGACTTACCTCATCCCTTCTGCCAATCACTACTGAAACATTAAAGTTTGGTTGGACGGATACCCCTTCTTCCTTCCTACCAATCAACATATTACAAGTCTTAATAACTGCTCTCTACAGAATAATCATATATTATTAAATTCAATGTAACTTAATTTATGATCAACTTCACTTTCTATAAGAAATTTATGTTCACTAAAAATCTTTTTTTATCTACTGAGCCATGCCCGCATCTCTCAGACTAAGATAATTGCCATACATTTTGCATTTAGCCACTAATGCAATTAGATTCTTCATGGTAGACCATATAGCTAATTAAAACCTTTCTCTATAGACTATATACATTCTGCTTATTACATTCAACTTTCCTAAACCCAAGCATAGAAACAGAAGTTTGAAATTTTACCTGCCATCAAATCTCTGTTGAACCTAGTGTTTACGCTAAAAATATACCTTACTTATCCTTAAATTTTCAGTTCATCATGTTATGTTTGAGTTAATTGAATCAGTTCCTTGACTTCTTCATTGAGCCATTAAATTCTTCTGTATGCCTGCCTTCTAATAAGTAATTATTTATAAAAGGAATTGCCCAACCATAACTAGCAGACCAGATCAAAGCAAATGAGAACATAATTATCTACACTGCAAAAGCGCAAGTACGCAAACCTTGCATGTAGTATTGTCCCCATACTTCCTATTTGAGTTGCCATAACCTGAAGGTATTCCTCCGGTAGGAAAAATTATCAAAAGATGACTAAAGTTTGAATTATATACAAAAAATAACACTGTACTATAACAACATTAATAAATATGATTTCTCTTATTCACAATTTAAAATAAGATTACAAAAACATTAACTAACAAACTTTGGTTAAGCTGACATTAGTTGACTGGTGATATTATTTGTCAAGTTAGAAAAAAAAAATTATACAATTATCCATTTAACATATCTAAATCAAACAATGACAACAAGATCTTTATAAGATGACCCATTTAACTTCATCTAAATAGAATAATGTTGTCTATTGCTAAATAATATGGTTTTATTTATAAGAAAAAAAAGGAAGAAGTCTATGGTTTGCCCAAAAGAAAGATTTATATTGCAGACACTTTTCACATTTTCATTTTTTCGTCAAGAAAAGAAGATAAGCGAGTACATAATGAGTAATTCAGGTAAAATCAAAACAAAAGTTAGGAATATCACTGGTCAAAGTGAATCAAACCATATTTTTAAGTGTTTCCAGAATAGACGTATTTTGAAAAAATCGATAAATTCCGGTCATATTTCAATAATTTACTCTAAAAAAATATTCCTTGACATGTGCACATAGATGAATCAACGTCAGTGCCTTGAGAAAACGGGTAACAACAAAGGCTTCATACTTACAAGGAAATGATCATCATAGCTGCAAATAACTATATCTGTCTGGTTTTCCTGCCAAACGAAGACCACACAGTTGAGAAAATTTAATTGGTTAATGCCTATACGTGATGCTTGAAATGAATATAGTTTGTTTGAGGAATTAATTTGAAAACTACCACTTAATTTAACTATGAGAGAATGGAGATGACAAAGATTAAGCTCCCAAATAAATCCAAGCAGAATTCAGACAACATATTTCAAATTCCAATAAAATTAAGAAACCCTAGACTGTATTGCTCAATTCCACTCTGAAACGGACTCTGTTATATGATTTTGTAAAGGATCTTTATCTGTCATAGTTAGAATATGTACACATTTCCAAACAAATTCCACAAACAAAGTTCATTTGTCCCAAACACAGTCATATTACAGAATATGAATTGGTTAATAATCAACTGCATCACAATAACAGTAAAGAGAATACTAAGGGAATTTCATTGACAGGGAAAGAACTGCATTTCAGCACTCGCTGGCTATTTAAAATTGTCTCAGTTACCATTCATGAATCTCATAATTGAAGTCAAGGAGGTTAGAAACCACTGTGTTCGTTTCCATGAAACATGAAATAATAAAAAAAGCTTTTCTTTAGAAAATTCCTAATTGATAAAATATAATTCCGTCCTTTCAAGTAAAATAATTAAAACTTATAAAATTCAACCAACCCCTATTTTTAAAATTGAGAAATAGAATAAGCATCGTATACAGAGAAGAACACTTCTATAGGTCTGATTTCCTCGGCGTGATATAAAAGCGATTCAAAAAGCGAGCAAGAATTCAATAGACGCCATATATGTATATATATATATATGTATGTATGTATCTACTAAAAAAATTCGAGAACGAGAACAAAAGCTGCGAAAAATACCTTGATATCCAATGAGATATTTCTGTAGGGAACAGGAAAACTTGGGAGAAAACTGCACATCTGGTCTTCTCACCCGAATATTGCAGTATAATTTCTTCTATGCTTTGTCTCCCTTTTCTTTTCAGAACAATAAAATATTTCACTAGTTTTTCGGCTCTTAAACCATTCAGAAGGGCTTTTTTGACATCTACCCCAGTTCTCAAAAAGGTCCGCAGAATAAGTTGTTAAATAGTTTTATCCATTAAAAAATATTTATAATTACTGAAAAATAAAAATTAATAAGTGAAAAGATATAGTAAATATACGGTTAAAATGGTCTGAATTCTCATACTATTTAATTTTTTTTATTATTTTTTAAAACTATTTTATTCTTATACTTTGAAATTTTTACAATTCAATCTTTAACATTAATGGTCATTTGGGTGGTGTTAGTGGCATGGGCCACGTTGCTGGTAATGTGTCACAAACAAGCAACAAAAATTAGTAGTGAGAGTTAAATCAACAAAAATTTAAAAAGTATTGAATTAAAATAGATCCAAAAATAGTATTAAGGGATTAAATGAAAAAAAATCAAATAGTACAGGGGTGCGTTAGCCATCATATATATACATATATATATATATATATTTTTTACTTTTTTCATTTTTTGTTGATTCAAATTACATAACCAAAACATAATTGACGAAATAAGATGCACATATTTTTTGTGTGCAGGTTTTTTAGTTTATTGGAATATTTAAATTAAAAAAGTCTATTCATAAAAAATATTTTTTTTGGTCTTGTGATTCTATTAACACAAGGATGGGTTAAGTTATATGCTTAATTAAATTAAATATTATTTATTGAAATACTTTCAAATGACAAATTTTATAGTTTTAATGACATTTATACTCAGTAATTTTTAAATAAATTAAAAGTTATAAATGAAAGTAGATGCCAGTTCACTGTTTTTTAATTTTTTATTTGTATTTCTTGTGAGAGTAAATGGA